AGTTCTGGGACCATCCCCTGAGCCTGCTTGGTCGGGTATTCTGTGTTGTTGTTGGCGGAGCTCTCTGCTATACGTCCACCCGATCCGCCATCTTGTTTGTTCTCTTAGCCTTTCTCCTTCTATGAGTCGAGAGTCCTCAGCTGCTCCCTTCCTCTGCCTCCATCTCTGGTGTCCCTGCTTCTCTGGATAGGGTCCCACATTCTGCTCGTGCTCTTCTCCCTTGATGGTCCTGGGGTCCTCTGTTCCTGAACTGTAAGATTAGCCACTGCCATGTTTTTGTTACAAAACTTCTACCTTTACAATTGTGACAGTTGCAATTAGTCATAATAACAGTTACTCACTATTGAATCATAACTATCGTATCCCCATCTCCTTTTACCAGATCTGTCTACACAAGATACAAGCTATTCAGAGGGGACTCTTCTTCCCTTACAGTAGTGACAATTGCATAAAATCTAAGCTTTGTGTGAATTTTCATAGTATACCATTTCATATTAGTCAGATATCAAGTATTTGAAACACATTTCACGTCCACACAATCACCAGAAAGCCATAGGTTTTTGAAACAGTACCAGTGATGGTAGTATTTCTGAAAGACAGTGTAACCCATGGGACATGACTGTGTTTGTTCATGGTAAAGTAAAGCACATTTATCCCCAACAGCGTGTTACTTATTTTTAACAGAAATCTTACTACAGAGAACCTGTTCGAAGGTCCTGAAGACAGTCAGTGTGACGAAACTGGTAGCTGGATTGCAGCTCTTGATGTGCTACAAGACAGTGACCCGGAAGTAGATCCTTCTGAATGCTGGTTTTCAAGTGAAGCCTACGTGGGTCACTCATCACTTAACCACTCAGTCACATCACACTCTTCATGCAATGCCTCTAAGTGTAAGGAATGTAAAGAGGAAACCTGCGGTTCTTCCTGCCACACGATGACTCCTAGGAAAAGTATCAGTAGAACGAAATCCCATAAATGTAAGGTCTGTGGGAAAGACTTCTTCTGTCTCTCGACACTTCTGAATGCTGTGACAACGCCCGCTGGTGAGAAACAGTGTGTATGTCACGAATGTGGGAAAGGTTTCTCTACGTTCTCATCCTTTTGGACACACCTGAGGGTTCACAAGTGTGACTGTGAAGACGGATACAAAACCTATTGCTGTCCGTCCCCCTTCATTTTACATTCATCATTTCATAACAAAGAGAAATGTCACGAATGTCAAGAATGTGGGAAAGCCTTCAGTGATTCCTCAGCCCTCACTAGACACAGTAGAACTCACAGTGGAGAGAGGCCTTACAAATGTAAAGAATGTGGAAAAGTCTTCAGGCATGCCTCAAACCTCACCGCACATAAGAAAACTCATACTGGAGAGAGGCCTTATGAATGTAAGGAGTGTGGGAAAGCCTTCAGTCGCCTCTTACACCTCACTACACACAGAAGGACTCATAGCGGGGAGAGGCCTTATGAATGTAAGGAGTGTGGGAAAACCTTTAGTCGATCCAACTGCCTCTCTGACCACATAAGAACTCACAGTGGCGAGAGGCCTTACGAATGTAAGGAGTGTGGGAGGGCCTTCAGTTATTCCTCAGCGCTCACAAAACATATTAGAACTCACAGTGGAGAGAGGCCTTACGTATGTAAGCAGTGTGGCAAAGCCTTCAGTGATTCCTCAGCTCGAACTCAACACATAAGAACTCACAGCGGAGAGAGGCCTTACGAATGTAAGGACTGTGGGAAAACTTTCATTCAGATCTCAGCCCTCACGAAGCATATCAGAACTCACAGTGTGGAGCGGCCTTACGAATGTATGGAGTGTGGGAAAACCTTTCGCTGTTCCTCATATTTTACTTTACACGTAAGAACTCACAGCGGAGAGAAGCCTTATGAATGCACGGAGTGTGAGAAAGCCTTTGGTGATTCCTCAGCCCTCAAGAAACATAGAAGAATTCACAGCGGCGAGAGGCCGTATAAGTGTAAGGAGTGTGAGAAAGCCTTTAGTCGTTCTTCAAACCTTACCGCACATAGAAGAACTCACAGTGGAGAGAAACCTTACAAGTGTGTTGAATGTGGTAAGGCTTTTAATCAGCCCACGGCCCTTCGTACACACAGCAGGATTCACAGCGGCGAGAAACCTTTCGAATGTAAACAGTGTGGGAAAGCGTTCAGACAAGCCTCAAACCTCTCTACGCATAGAAGGACCCATGGTGCTGATGCTTTATGAATGGAAGGGATGGAAGAACCTCTACCACGTCCTCAGATCTCATTGGACTGTTAGAACTCACACTGCAGAGAATGGGTCAAAACTGGGATGGGTCTTCATTAATTCTGGTGTGCCGCTGTAGGATAAGCACTGGGCTGTATTTCAAACCCACCAGCATCTCCTTGGAAACCCTGTACAGGATCGTTAAGAGTTGAAACCAACTCAGCGTCACTTCACATCAATAACAACTAAAATTTCCAGAAACTCTGGCAGTCCATTGGACTGCTGAGCACAAGATCGGCAGATGAAACCCACGAGAAACCTCAGGAGAAAAAGGAAGATTTCTGCTCCCGTAAACATTTCACATTTTCAGAAGCCATTTTCTGCAGTGTCACGAAGTGTTGCTACGAATCAGAACCAACTTGGTGTCAGTGAGTGTGGCTTTCTCTTTGTTGATATAATTTAAAAAGCAAAACTTGGGAAGTGTGCAAATGAAGAGCACCGTTCATTTTTCCGTGAGTATGATAGCAGAAACTCAGTGAAAGTGTGTTTACAGCCGCTTTGTGCCTTTGGATCCGTGGCATTTTCTTCGGTGCTCATCAGCATTCTTTACTTTCACATGTCCCAGATACAGACTGTGACAAGGTTTTAGGGAATACCCTGGAGCTAAAGTGCTTTCTGACTTTTAAAGGTTGTTACTGATGGTATCTTGCATACAATTAAACAGTCATCTTATATTTCACTTCCGACTGTTTTATTTTTCTACTTAACACATTTCCTTTTCGCATTTCCTATTCATGGGGCTGTGGACTAATGCGTCAGACTGCAAAGTTGTTTGCACTTCAAGGTCGGCGGTTCAAGCTCACCAGCTGCTCCTTGGAAGCCCTACACAGCGTCACTATGAGTTGGAACCGACTCAGTGGCACTTAGTGTACTTGGGGGGGCTGGACTAATTGGTTCCAAATCACAGTAACCTGTACAGGGTTTCTGATGCTATAAATCTGTAGAATCAGAAAGTCTTCCTCTTTCTCCTTTGGAGTGGTGGAATCGAACTTCTGACCTCTCAATAAGCTGAGTAACCCTGTATTCCACCACAAGTCCTTACTGTTGTGGGGAGGAGCAGTAATTGATGCTAGAGAGGATGGGTTGGTCAGCAGGTTGGAAAACTTGTTCCTTTGGGAGACCTTTAATATTCCAAGATACAAGTAGTAGCTTTGTGCAGGTCCTTCTGAAAATCAGTAGTCATTCATATAGTATGTGTTTGTGTGTGCCGACACATGCCGTGGGCTTCAGTGCATTTGTGGACTTACGGAATGGAAAGGAAAGGAACAATTTCCATGGACGTCTTGAAGTCCCTATAGATATAAAATAATATACACACCCCCTGCTGATGTCCTGTGGTTCCAGGTCGTTGATGACATCGTGCTAACTGCTGAAGAGTTTCTGTTACAAGATTGTCTAGTCACCCTAAACATCTACTTACAGGGAACTAGGTGGTCCGTGAACGTCTATAATTTACAAGGGCTAGGTAATCTGTGAACGTCCATAACTCACAGAGGACTAGGTGGTCCAAAAATGTCAACAACTTACAGGGGACTAGGTGGTCCATCTGCATCTATAACCTACAGGGGGCTAGGTGGTCCGTGAAC